TCATCATCATCACCATAATTATAAAAAATAAAGCAAACTCTCTTTTCATAACTAAAATTTCAATGATAAGTTACTAGGGAATAATAATAAGTAATGAAATTTAATATTTAAGAAATAATTGTATTAACGATTTTCTAATTTAAATTTAATTAATTTTTCTATAAACATACTTGGAAACAAGAGTAACATTTCATTACTTTGGATATTAATCTGTTGAATTACCTTATATTATTCCCATGGGTCATGAATAAATTATTGTACAAAAATTTAACATTTAATCAAACTTATGTCACCAAGTATATATATAATGCATAAACGGACATTGGATAATTCATTGTTCTCCCAAAGATATCTATTGTAGTGTATTACAAACACAAATCTGCTGATTCATACTTCAGAAATGTCAGTTGTATTATATTCTTCCATCACTAATGATGAGTGTATTAAGTACTTATTATCAATTTCTAGTGCATATATATTTCGTTAATAGCAACATTTAAACATATCAGTATCGTCAAGTGATTAAAATTAGATTTATAAATCACTGAATTGCAACTCAATGATCTAAATGTTAAGTACTGATTATGAGTCTTTAACGTCTTGAGTTCTATCTCCAGTGAAGTTGTTTTGAGCGCTGTTATGGTATCACATACTACAACAAAACAGATGTTAAATGATTTCTTTTTATTAATGGTTGTTTAACAAAGATCAGTTCGTGATCTGATCTATGAAATAAGTATTTTGCTGCATTATTACTAATAAAAAACACATTCATGCATAAACCAATTGCTATATACTTTTGATACATGTATAACGTAAAGGTTTAACTAGAAAGTGTCCTGAAATATCTTTATCAAATACAGATAAGACGTACAATGAACCAAAAGAAATTGCATTACGAAATGAATGTTGATTCGTGACAATGTAACAATAAATTCAATTCAACAATACTGTTTGAAGATTTTATCTTGTAATTCAAACTAAAATAGTGATCCTTTGTAATTTTTTAAAGGACACTAATATAAAGTAGCTAATGAACTTAGAATTGCTTTACTTGACGTTCATGATGTGTAAAAAGAGAAGAAACGATATAATTTGAATATAAAAGCCATTGGGTAGATATTTACATGATCATATCCCAATGAGTTTTCGGAATATTGGACAGAAATCCATGAATGAGTAACTTCAATAAGATGTTTCACTCATTGGTTCAATCACCAGACAGAACATACAAATAGGAATAATTATGTATATGGATTATTGGATATGTGCAGATGAATATGAAACAATCGGGCATCCCAAACACTACTTTGTGGACTCATAATAATCTATCTGTTCATTAACAGATGAACATACTAGTTGAGTCGATCCGAGGTGAATTTTTTGGAAAGACTTTTTACAAAAATAAATTTGCATACAGGAATAAATTTACTTACTAAATACTTTTTTCACAATAGATAGAACTGATGATAAGCCTAGGTAAATATACTTACCATCCAAAGAGCATATTAAAAAACTAATATTGACATTAGCTAATTCCCAAACTGTTCAATCCATGTCCTCATTGGTCAACAGGAAACAATGAAATTTTAATTCAGGGTTTCTACATACATTAAATCTAAACTATGATTGCAACAATAAGTATTAGAATACAGACGAACATGGTATTTGTATTAATACTTGTTGGTCACCTAATGAAGTGACTCCAAACTATTGGTCATTCTATAAAGGCTAATAAAAGCATCTTCATGAAGAATTTCTGAGTCAAGTCAACATGATTTGAATCAGTTAGTGACAAGTCATATATATATGACGAGTCGATGAATCGGACATCTATATCCAATCATAATTAGTAATGCAATTCTACAAAACTCTCAGTCTTTTTAGTTCTTTAGTTGAATAACTTCAATCACGATTAATGTTTTTTTAAAAATAAAGCCAAGTGATCACAGATAAGGAATGATACTTCATACTTATCTTGGAAAAATAGTAATTTATTTCCATAAAACTTTACGTCCTACTCCATCAGGACTAAAGAAAATAGAGAAACTTCAATCTAAGTAGTAATTTTCTTAATAATCTTGTATCGATAATAAACAAACTCTCATTAATAATACTAGACAAAATAAAGATTTTATCAATAAGTCGGTTACATGACAACATTGTATATAGTCACTTGTTGAAGATAAAGAAGTGAGTTAACATTCTGTAACAAAATTAGATATCAAAAATCTAAGTTTTAAATTACTAATACTAACATTAGACATGGTAAAGGCACACATAACATCAATACCCATCTCAACTGGATTTGGAAAAATGTGAAAGTGAACAGGGTGATAAGTTAATTTCTTTCGTCTCATATTCATCATATATTTTATATATTTTCAGTGATCGTTCATAATTATTAACTAACAGTTGCACTTAAAATATGAGAGATATGAATTCCTAGCAGAGTATTCTCTTTTCAAAATAGTGTATACTGTCCAATCATTTTGTTGTTTCAATAGTGATAGTTTTATTGGAAAATGAGTATTGGATTTAGTTTACATGTCACATAACTACTGAGTTAATGAACAAATAGATTCTATATTGAATATTATGTAAGAAAAGCCTACCAGTATGATTATAAAACAAACGACTTGGTGAATGAGAATACAGGTGGAGACAATCGAATGTATTTGAACACAAAATCACACAACATTTTACTAAAATCTGGGAATTATATAGTGAATACTTAATTTGCAAAATGTCAATCAATTGTCTCACACTTGACTTTTTGCTTTTTGCAGATATCAGTCATTCGTCTCAGACTTCAATGTTCCCGCATTTTCATACCAATTGCTTTCTGTTCCTGTACTTTCCTCCTCGATCTTCCTGAGCTTCTGCTGCCAGACATTCTATTTCTGTCTAGCGTTATACACTACTTATATCGTTATAAGTGGCACACACCACAACGATATATATTAATTTTGCTTAAATTAACCCTATGGTATAATTAAGTTCATACGAGAAAAGTTGGTCTAAAGATATGATCAAGATTTTAACATCAGTTTCTGAATGTTTTAGGAGTAACTTCTTTAAATTTATGAGTTACTTACTATAATTTGGTTTCAATACTAATCGTAATCAACATGATAATTTTGTAATACATTTACATAATTTGTAGCTTTCTGGTTTAAAACGAACTAAATTTAATCAGATTTCTTTCTTCTTTTATTCGAATTTCAAAGAATATTGAATCTGAATCAAATAACATGGCTAAACCAGTTCAACTACAAACATGAATATAGAAATGTTTTGTATAAAGCTGTATTTACTCATAAATAATCTATACTTTCATTGAATACAAACAGTGAATATATGAGCTGTGGTTTTGGTTAAGTAAATCATCCAGTTATACATTGAAGAACTCACAAACTTGTATGTGTATGATGTGGTAGATCCTATCGATTTCGTTCGGTCAATCATACGATGAGAAGCATTCAATGTTATTTAAGACAATATTGTGAATATAAATCTTAAGCAAACTAACGAATCATGATTTCTACACTTAATACAATGTTTAAGTAAGACAAAATGTAGTCAAATCAGAACCTAAGTATTTTATTATCTAACCAATTTAGTTACAATTTAAGAATTGGTGTAATCGTGAAGTCTATTAACTACTGTTTTCAATTAAAATTTTCAACAATGTTGCAAGTAGAAGATTAAATTCATTTGGTATTGTTTAGTTGAATCTTCCAGTTGATGTTTAGGACTGAAATTGATCAGTCACTTATTGGCACAAGTGAATATTGTGTATATTGCCTTGATATTGCCTTAATTCACAAGCATTATAAGCAAAGGTGGATAGTGACTAGCACTGGAATCCAAGACACGCGTTTTGTCTTAGTTTAGTCTTAGTTATCATTTCTATTAGCTTCTATTAAAATAGTCTTTAAGTGTATCTGACATTTTTCGAAACCATAACCAACATACAAATCTATCATAAGTAATCTAGGCGAGTAATTAATTGACAAAAGTCTTTTCATTACATTTCATTATGACTGAATGAAATATGTCACACAGATCAAGAACTAGTTAGGGTTAAGTTCATCCATTTTGTGAAATTTTACCTAAATCCAGTAAATTAAAAAAAACGCCAGTGTATTCATTTTTTATTGATTGTTATGATTCTGTTAATTAAACTTTCAAATCATGGTTTAATTTATGGCATAATTCTATGGTTATTTATACTCAGATAAATAGTATCTGGTTTCGGTGCTTTATTGATTATACATTCTGTGTCTTTTTTGGAGTCCATGATTGTTGAAATGGTAAGAATGTTGAGTTTTGTTTTTCAATGACTTGAAAATATCTCTATACATTTTTGTATTTTTCTTCAAATGTTTAAAAATTGAATTAAAACTATGCATATTGAGATGGTGAAGATTTGTAGCTCAGATGTACAGAACAAGCTGTGAAACGCATATAGAGAAATTCGAACACTTCACTTCTATCTGAAGTTTGTGCTGATGATATCGTTCAGAGGTACGATGAAAGCTCCACGACCAAAACATCCAGCTCAGAGAACAAACCTCCATCAAAACTATGCATATTGTTTACTTTTAAAATTATCGCCGTACTTAATAAATTGTAATCATTTGTTTCATTGATTTTTGATTGAACCCAACAGAAATTAGCCACCTATCTTGTAAATGTTTCATTAATATAACATTTATTCTGTTGTTTATCGTATTCCAATATATAATGACGCTAAAGAAATAATGTAATCCAACAGTTTTTATAAAGTTTAATTACTATTAAATAGATTTAACTTGTATAATGAGGACGTAAAGATTAAAAATTTGCCTGTCAAGTAGTATAAACGTTTATTTCCATAAATTCCAGAGAGAAATCATAAAACAGAAACAATTTACCCCAAAAAATCGAAACAGTCCACAAATATCTGTCATTATATGGGCATTCAAACATGAACTTAACTTTCATTGTTGTTTCTATTAGAAATAACTGTCATTCAGTCTAAATGGACTGGAGTTAGGACTGTTAGCTTCCGGTGTTATTGAGTCCACATTTTTCTTCAAGTAATCTCTAGAACAAAGTATCAATTACAAAAATACAAACTTTGAAGGTCAATAAATTTGTATAAATAATTACATATTACTTATTAGTAACTACAAAAATATAGAAAATATACTGATCAAGTATTCCGTTTGTACTATTTAAAGTTCCAGTTTTCATATAAAACATGATGGTTGAGCAAAAGATGAATTTTTAGTGGCCCTGACTCTGACTCCATTTGGATCATATAATAGATTGTACAAACGATTGTTATTGAAGCGTACGTATCAACAATCCTCGTATATAATTATCGACTTAAATCGTGTTGGTTAATAACAGAATTAAATAAGTCTAATGGATTTTTGAATATTTAAATTTCGTACAATCTTTGATCGAAAAAGGGAAGTAAAATGAAATGATGCGCGCCAGAGAAAGCGAGTGAGCCAACTTGATTTAGCCAAGCATGAACCAATATTTATAGTCGAACAAAAATAAGTTACATACATATGGTGAGTAAGATAAGAAATGCACACATGTGATCATATAAAAAACGGTGTTAATAAGCAAATAAGTGACGGTAATAAGGTTACTCAAGAGGACTGAATATACTGATCTGTTTAGAGTCTGGAACAACCTATGTGAACTTGACATAATACCACTCTCTACAAATTAGTGTAAGTTAACATATACATGACTAGATTTCGGCTCAGTAGTCTAGATGCTATGCATTCGATACGAATTCTAAAGGTCTTGAGTTTCCTCCCTGGTGGAGTTATGGATCATAACTTCTGAAAAAACACGTACTAGAAAGAAATATATATTCCGTTCTTCCTGATTTTTACTATTTTTCTCACATTGTTTCATTATCTCCATAAAATATAAATTCTCTTGTCTAGCTAAACTTAGTTCATGATGATATCTATGAAATACTGAGATGAGCAGCAAATTAGTAAAGAAAGCTAAAGCAAGCTACTATTATAAACCGTTGAATCATTTTACTAGAGGCAAACTTTTAGATTCATTGTTAGGTAGGTTATAATCAAATCGACAGAAAATTTCGAATCCAACTTAGCGTTTGTCGCCTTGCCAGTATGAAATGACACCTCTACTCTGATCTCAATTTATGTCCATATCGTTCTTATATATTAGTCTTGGTAGCTGGTTTACTTATAAGATGTCTTTCAACTTATAGTATAGTAAATGAACTTTGTGTAATATCCCGTAAGGAAAGTCCATACAAGTCAATTTTCAGGACTTTCCAGTTTAGGGATCCTAGAAAAACCTCAGTACTTATTATCTTACTGCTAGATTATAAGTGTGAATGGTATGATTGTTGATGTTAGCTGTCTTTCCCAATTTTCTAATCTTTCAAATAGTTAATGTCGTAATAAATATATACATTCAATTAGTATAATGTCATTCTAACGAAATCTCTCCAGTCAGTTCTGTAAATTTTCTTCAAAATACCACTGATTTGAACTGAAAAATCAGTTGCTATTGCTCATCCAATTATATTTTGTTTGAAACGGAAATCAATATACAAACATTTCGACTTTATCCTTTACTTAAACCGTCATTAAAATCATAAAATTAAGAAAAATCTAGTTTACAACTTATTGCATAAAACGAGATATCCTATCTCACATAAGACTGTCTGAAGAAATTTGGATAGACACCCTTCATTGTTTTGAGATAGTTTTCATAGTGAATGGATATATATGGTAAAATTATAGAAGGAGATGTTTCATTACTGGATCCTCTTGGCCTTGAAGTCCTTTAAAGAAATTTACCCTTGTGAATTGGTGAGCCAAAGTCAGACAGTTAAAATTTTTAAATTTAGTCAACTTACAATATACAGCTCAATTCCTAATATTATTAATAAGTTGGAGCCTCACTTCGAGTTTGGCTGAAATCACTTGATTACGGTTTTCGTACAGAACATCTAGAAATTCTTCAAGAAGCTAGTCACTGATAATCATAAAATTTGCCTCCGGTTGATGTCACTTCATGATGAAAACTATCTTCATTTTATAATAATATGATCTGCAAGGCTCACATTTGATAATTTAACTTGTCCAATGTGAATATTTTAATATTTAAGTTATAAAAACGACCTAGTTACTTCAAATTCAATTTAATTACTTGAAATAAATTGTTCCATCACCATATTTGTCCAGACGTTGTTGTAAATCATTTACTTGTTCATATTTGTAATTCACCCCTATTATCTTATAAAGAAATAAGAAAATGTTCAAATGCTCCTTGTAACAATAAAAAACGTAAAGTTTAGCTAATTGTAATTAAACCAATAATATTAATCAGAATGGGGGTTTGTAGAGATTTTGGTATTGTAACAGTTGAATTCATGAGTTGATCGAAGCTAGACCACTATTGAAAACCTGGAAGTGCTGGACGGAAGATTCGACCTAGTATGACACTCCACATTTGAGATCGCCTCATGAATTCAACTGTTAAAATGATTATATATATTTTTGATTAATTATTTAGAAATATCAGGATGAACATTGAACCGTTTAGTGTAAAGTGATTAAATCAAGTTCAATGTGTAATAAATGATGGGATTTAACACAATCATATCAAACCAACACAATAAGGGATTACCGAGTCGAATGATCGAACTTATGTTAACGTCTATATGATTAGAAGCAATATATATAATATGAACAACAGGGAGCTAAAAGTATATATATATATATATATATATATATATATATATATATATATATATATATATAATAGCTTGCCTATTCGTTACAGCATGTTACTCGATTCTGTCAATTCTAAAGCTCTCTCAACCAAACCAGCTATTTACAGGGGGAAGATAAAGGCTGTTTAATAAGTTTGCTTCGAGTTCCTAAATATATTTATTGACAGTTTATAAAACAATCTTCAGTATAGGGTTATGGAGATTGTTGAACTTAATTGAAATCATGATCAGAATCGTGAACGCACACTGATATAGAGTCTCATACTAGGATGAAACAGACATTCAGTGTTCCTGGGTTTTCAATGATGGTCTAACTTAGATAGGTTAATGACTGAAGTGTCCAGATATCTATCACCAACATAAACATTTAAAAATTCCAGTAGTGAGTGGGCTTTAGCATGAAATCTTGACAAACGTAAATGAAGTGAATCAATTTTTATTTGAATCTACATCTTTATGTGAAATATTTGAAAGAAAGAAATCTCCCTTTTTCTTTTTTAATTTTCATCTTCATGTACCCGTCATCGCTAGAATTACATTAAATTCTTTGCCTAATACCTGGGTTTTTTTTTCAAAATACGTGTAGAATAATTCATTCTACACAAAGTGGTCTTTATCCTGCCGGAACAATATTTTTATAGATTTCTAAGTAGAACGACAATTAAGTGCGTTTTACTTGTATACAGGGTATTAATTTATAAAACACTAAATATGGTCTTCATAAAACCATGTAACAAATATTTATTGCCTATAACGGAGCTATAAAACTGAGTAACTTTTCAAAGGATACACTGACGAATATAACGGAACACTTGTTACCATGGCAACAAGTTGGTGTTCAAGAAAAAATCCATACATTGTTCGGAACAAAGCGGCTTTTCATTCTTTCAGGAGTCCTAACGATGTGCGTTCAGTTCACATTCTACTCTGAGTCAAATTACGATTCTCCCTTAGTACCTTGGTTTTTAATTAATCGCAGCTTTATAACCAGGATGAATCGTTACTAAACATTTTTAATCTACCTTAAACTAGAATTGATAAATTACTGAATGGCCTAATGTTTTAATAAACAATTCAATAAGACTATACAGATCATATAACAATATAGGTGAAAACCTGAAGTTCGGAACTCTCTGTTTCATTGTCCAACGGATTGAAATATTGATTTATTATTTGGTTACTTCCTGAAAGAAATAAAGTGATGTTTAATAATCAGCAAGCCAATATAATCAAAAGACTACGTAATTAAAAATAACCTACTTTCAATGCTTCAATAAATTGTGGAACACTAACAGCTCCTTTTTTATTTACATCCATATTCTGCAGAACATCAGTAAATATTTTTCCATTATAGTTTACTTGACTTTTAAGAAGGAATAATAAGTCAACAAATGTACCACCTTCCGACTGGACATCATCTTGTGTATTGCCTACAATCAATTGTGGTCCATGGTTTATGCATAATTCAGTGAAAGTTTTCTTAAGTGATTCAATTAATTGTATACATTCAAAGTCAACAGGAATTTCCTGAAATGTTAAAATAAATATTAATCTTTATAAACTGTTTTCCTTTAAACATTTAACTGAACCAAAGAAAAGTCAAAATCAGTTATTGTTGTTTTACTAGAGAAGCAATTAAAGTAGTCTTGTCACCATTTTGGGTATCTCAACGATACATACGTTCAACACTGTCAGGTCTTGAAATGATGACCCCCAGGTCGTACATAAGAATCCACTAAACTGTATTTCCTGATTTCAAACAAGTCATGTTGTAATTTTAAACTCTGCCCTAAAGCCAAATGGTTTTCCATAAATAATCATAATTATGAGAAAACATTTATTTAGTGCTTCCTTCAAGATGAGATATTTAAACATTTTTTATCTACTACTAGCAATATATGAAAGTAGTAAAATTGTATATAACAAAGTATTACCTCCATCAATAAACGTTGCAGTTTCAAACTCTGACATTTAGTAATCTGTTTAAAGAAGTTATACAATCCTTTTGTACTGATTGGATTACTGCTAACGTCCAAAATTCTCAATTTTGTTTCACCTGAATCATTCGATGTACATATGGCTTGACCGATACTTTCAATTTCTTTGTCACTGATTCGATTATATTGTAAGTACAATTCTTCCAGTGTTATATTTTCTTTGATTATTTGTGCTATTTCTAGTCCAGATTTGCCAGCAAATCCATTCCACGACAAATGACAAATGCTGATGCGAATATTTTCCTGACAAACGTAAGTAGATTGATAATACATTTCTAGGTTCATTGTAAATCATGATACAGTTTATCCTATTTGGCAATAACTATTGTATTTAAATAATGTCACCTTAGTAAAAAAGGCACCAAGAAAGTAAAAGATATGGCTAAATTCTGAAATAAAGTTATGGAAGCTAACATTTAGAGACGTTTTCTTCAATAATTTTCATCAGTAATTTTGAGTGAACTGGTGCTAATGTAGGTTTCAATACCTCATCATCCTGCTTCATAGTCTGCTCAGCCACTGTCAAGGAAGTGAACTTCTGTGGGACTGCATTATCTTGTAAAAACTAGTTCCGTTACGATTACACATACCCATGGAGATCCAAGGTTTGCTGCCGACCGTCTCCAACATCCTTATTTCTTGACAAAGTAGTTACTGTTTTGAGTCACTTAGGCTAGTGGTGGAAATGTTACTTGATTGATTGGACTCAACCAAGGCAACGAAAGCCGAAGTATATGAAATTGGCCACCACTAAGTGCTTAATTAATTGTCGGGATTAATAAATTATTGGCTAACAAGTGTGTAGACCGTCAGTGATAGTTTAGTAAATGGTAGGATTTTTCAACTGGAAGAGTGAATTATTTGCTCATAGAGTGATCAACCATATCCTAACTGTATAGGTTGAATAAAAGCATAAATAGTTAATTCTGTCAAGATGTTCTCAATGTTTTATTAAAGTGATTTTTATCACACATTCGATACTGAATAGGAAACGCTGTATGGAACACCTCAAAAAAAGCGGACTTATAATTTATAATCTCAGGTAAAAATGAGCATAGTTTAGTCATTGCAGAAATAGACATATTTTTTTCAATCAATCACAATAAGTCTTCGTACAGAAAGTTGTCATCAAAAATAATAACTAACATTTAAATATTATACTTTAATTTTCGATGTACCTTTAATCCTTTTGCAATATCTAAAGCACCTTTATTAGTAATTGAATTCCATGAAAGATCTATTTTGAGCAATGTATCATTTGAACTAATTGCATCACCGAGAAGTTCAGCCCCATCCGAACCAATCTGATTTCGAGCCAAATTCAAATACTTTAAAACACGATTCATCTAGTTACAAGAATTAATAAAGATTTATTAAAACTCTTCATGACAACGGTAACACTGAACTTAATATGGTATAATTTTATTATTAAGTTTTAGAATGTCCTAAATTAAGTATAGCGATCATAATTTTATAGTGAATAAATTACTATTATTTCCACTTGTCTGTCACTTGATTATTTTTTTAAATAAAACACAACTTCAACATCAGTTTCTAAGATTAATGACCAGTGGGAATACTATGTTGAGTCCAACATAAAGCATCAGGTTAACAGATCAAACTTTTATGTACTGATGCGATTCGAAAGAACTTAGATTCTAAACGTGTTATCTCTTAAACTGAATAAGTCATTCTAAAGAAGTAACGTGACAAAAGAGATCCCATAAAATATATCCACAGCATCTAGGTCATTTGAAGATGATTACCAGTAGATGAAATAAAAAATATCTTAAACTTGAAGTTGTGAACCAGAAGATAACTACTAACATGTGATGCTCCTAATAGCTAATATCATAGACTCCCATTAATACGACCATTTTGAAACTCGAGGATCACTGAACATTTAATTCATACTGGTAAGGAAAGCGAACATTTCGGCTTCTAGGTGAGTGCGTAAAGTTTAAACTTCTGATTTAATATTCAGTAGTCCATAATTCGAAACTAAGATGAAAGGACTCATCAATATTTACCGTATTCAACGGTTGTTCAACTAAAGTCAATCGATGATACAAAATTAAAACAATCTTTTCTTTAAAAACGTTTAAAGTTTTATTATTTTTTAGCAGAATAAATCCTTACATTAAACATTTTACAAGTCCAAGTAAATTATAGAAAACTTGAAAAGTACAGTTGCTATTAACGTCAAGTTGAAAAATGATTTCAGCTATTTTAGCTTGAAGACCAGATCATTTGATCTCCTGAATTAATTGAAATATTTCTGATCTCATGTAGTCTATTTTCAAAACGCTAATTATGAAAGCTCATATTTTTATTTCTGACATTAAACAACGAATAAAGCAAACGATTGATAAACAATTTTCAATTGCACGTATGATCTGCCTATTTTAAACATTAGTAACATATTTTACGAAGGTCTGACGTAACAAAAAAAACCTGATAATAGAAACTCTTCTAAGAGTTGCAAACAACAGCAAGTGTATGGTACACCATAAACCAAATATTAGTAAAATAACTGAATGAAATTAAAATATAATTTTCACAGATTGAACTCATGAGTCAGTTGAAGCTAGACCACCATTGAAAACCTGGAAGCACTGGACGGCCGTTTCGTCTTAGTACGGGACTCCTCAGCAGTGCGCGTCCACGATCCCGCAGCACCCGGGGCTCGAACCCAGGACCTACTGGCTTCGCGCGCGAGCACTTAAACATTAGACCACTGAGCCGGCATCCAACGGTGTTAATGTCTAACTTCAACCAATCCACGAAGTTGCGTTACCGTACACCATTGTCTTCGGTGAGTTCCTATCTCACAACAGACCTGGTTGAACTCCACTGGTAACGACTTCTCACTAGAACTCCAGAAGTGTCTCCTGAAGTCAGTCACTAGTGAGCAGGTGATTATTATTATCAGAAGGGGTTTGTGGAGATTTTTAGAAATTTTCACAGATTGAACTCCTGAGTCAGTTGAAGCTAGACCACCATTGAAAACCTGGAAGCACTGGACGGCCGTTTCGTCCTAGTATGGGTAAGTGCTCGCGCGCGAAGCCAGTAGGTCCTGGGTTCGAGCCCCGGGTGGTGCGGGGTTGTGGATGCGCACTGCTGAGGAGTCCCATACTGGGACGAAACGGCCGTCCAGTGCTTCCAGGTTTTCAATGGTGGTCTAGCTTCAACTGACTCATGAGTTCAATCTGTGAAAATTTCTAAAAATCTCCACAAAACACATTCTGATAAAATATAATTAACATAATTTTGAAATTCCAAATGATTCTAATGTATCTTATAAGCTCTGAGCAAGAAATACCTGTTAAACTCAACGATTCCAAATTTCTGAGTCGGTAAACATCCAATTAAACAAAATTCTATTTTATAGTTGATATCATGAGTTAATTTAAGCTAGACCACAATGGGAAACCTGCAAGCACTAGACGACCGCTTCATCCTAGTATGGGACTTCTCAGTAGTGCTCATCCATGACCTCGCCCCGTCTTGTACACAAATGCTTAACCTCTAGACCATTGAGCCAGCTTCCAACGGTGTTAGTATCTAACTTCAACTAATCCACTAAATTGAGCCACCGTACAGGTTTTCCATGATGGTCTAGCTTCGATTGACTCATGAATCGAACTATAAAATTACTTAGATCTCCACAAAACCCCCTTCTTATAAAATTCTATTAGACTGAAATAAAATAATAAATGAAATTCCAACTTACAGTTAAGATTTCAGCCAACATACTACAAGAAGAATCTCCTAAATCACAGCCTAAATGAATAAAATATAATTTATCAAAAATTATGACCTCACAAAACAAAATTACTAGAGTTCAATAGATTAAACTTATCATCAAGTTTAACTATTACAAGTGATATAAAATGTTAACAAGATGAACAATGAAAGTTGTAATATTTACTTTATAGTTTAACTATTACTTAAAAAAGAAATACTTTATTTCATGAATGCAGTCATTAGTTTGATCTTATTTCATCTTCATTTGTAAATTATACAAAGTTCTGTTGTTGTAATGTTCAAGATTTGTGGTTGAACATCTCTTGTAATAGCGTAGATGAAAGATTAAATTTTCACTATCAATAAATCACAATGTTTTGTACAGAAATCAATATTTAAAAATATAATTTACAGGGTAAGTCAACTTCTAGTAATGAAATTGATTTTCTATGCTACTTTTTTTATTGTTTACTTATTTAGTGAACCGTGGATCTGACTCCATGTAGATCGTACGAATGTTTGTTATCACCTATCCTCGTATACAATCATCGACTTAAATCACGTTAGTCAATAACGGAATTTAGATAAGTCAATTAACGAGAATGGCCTTTGAATACATATATTTTGTATGTAAAGTGAATGTAATAGAACAAAGCAAACTGATGCGCAGGGGAGATGGCCGGTAAGCCAACTCATTTTTAGCGAGGCGTTACTCAATATTTATAGGCAAACAAAATGAACTACAGACATGTGATGAGACATGGGATATGAAGTGTACACGCATATACGCTCATATAAAAACAGTCAAGACTGATAAGTGAATAACTAACATGGTCAAAATATGACTCAAGTAGAATGAGTAGATGAGGCCGTCCGAAAGTTAGAATAAAGTATATGGGCTTAACATAATAACTGACACTACACTTATATCGATTAAAAGTCTAACGTATTGTCATTAACTTATTTATCCTTATCTTATGAGGTCACCTTTTTAAAACACTAGACTATGCAAAAGTTTAGAAGTATTCTTGATATAATCAAATATTTAAAGTAGTAATTAACAATCCAGTTATTTAGGGCATATAAACCAAATGATTAATCTGTTTTTGAGAATTTTTATCAAATTTCGGTTTATATTTTATTGTATGTAAAGTAACATTAAGCAAGCTTGTACAACTACAGCAAATGGTGCTATCGGAAAGAAAAGTTCCTTCAATGAACTGTCTTTAATTTACTTATTGATATACTATGAGTTACTTTTGTTATTTTAAGATTGTATTTGGGTTGAAGGTGGTCAACCAGATAAATTACCAAGTTAATTCATCTTAATGACAAAATTAAACACTACTTATTTTAGATTTAAGTAGTATTTAAAGCACCCATCAAATTCGAGTAACTAAGTTGTTTTAGGTAGATTAATTTGTAGATGTATTTTTATCACATAATCTAGGGGAAAGTTCATTATGAACAAACGTCTATTGAATGATCGCTATAAAAGATGTTTTACTGAGAATCTACCGTCCTAATTTGTGACTTTGTAGCATAAAACTATCTACCCCAATATCTAGGATCTCCTCCAGCTACCACTATATATTTAACGTTACATTAGGAATTCACTAGTTCAACTTATGTCAATTTTTTGATATTTCTTAATCCTTAACAAATATTGTCAATGATTATGTAATAACGGTTGGCATGAAGCTAAAACGAACCAAATATCATTAAAGATTATTTTTTATTGATTCTTCCACTGACCACAATCTATGACTGGAAAGATCCTATGAAGTAATTAGTTTTAAAACAATTAATTATCCATGATAAAAAGAAATGGAATCCTGATTATTTATTCGCCTGTAAAAGCAATTAAAATGATAAGATAATAGAACTTTATATTTGAAGTCATACAGAATGATTTCTTATATCAAATAAAGACAAGACTATAAGATAGAAAGTCAATCAAATTATTTCATCATGTTCTTATGTAATAAGAATAAAATATCATTATATATAAGGAGGGGAAAGTATCAACAAAACAATGAAAAAAAGTTACCTTTTCTTTTGTTCTTTGAATAAATTAACTAGATTTAAATCAATAGTCAAAATAAAATTTGATGAACCATAAATAAACATAAAATGATTTAAACTTTCCCAGAAACACTTAGTTAAAAGACTGTTTCCATTATTCATAATATTGTAACAATATATTACCTATTATATATATTTATATATTCCCATTCCCATAGGTGTACCATTATCTTCTATCAATAAGTATCATATGAAAGAAGATTCAGTTTAAATGGGTTTTTTTTAGAAAAGAAAAGCAGTCACGTAATACTTGCTCGATAAACCATTTTCCCTATTAACTAGCGTCAAATAGTTGTTCGGAAATTAATTTTTGTTAAAATTTGTTTTGGTATATATCACCATGTTAAATATCGTGTCTTATTTATACATTTTGTTACGTAATATAGATTTGTTTGTTTTCATTAAACACAAGAAAAGAAACTGTTTATAACAGAAATGTAGGGCTTTTATTTCTTATTATCATTTATACTATTTATGATGGCTATACAACCACTCGTAGGATTTTTGTTTTTCACTAAGATCACTTGATATCTATCTATCTATCTATCTATCTATATATATATATATATATATATATATATATATATATATATGTCTGAAACACAATACTACATTTAGGTGTAAATTAAAATGGGCGAGACTATAATTTATGGACGAACCAATCACGTATAAGATAACAGGTTTCGGATTTTGGTGTTAAATTCATTCATTCATTTGGCTAAATAGAGTTTTTGCATTATAGTTGATGTCACTTCGTGATGAAAACCCTAAATCTAATTTTTAATTTTAATTAGCAAATGTAAATCATAATTCAAATTCCTTACACAGGTGTATAAACCTCATTTAGTACTGGTTATTAGGTGAACACACTCATGGTCACTTTAGCGTCGCTCAAATATCGTCCATAAATTATAGTCTCATCGTAAAATGTTTAGTATATTCTTGACAACCGATTTTTAATAGGTTAGTTTTTTGTATGGAATTTCTTTTATTTCATCAATGCCCGACAAAATTTATGTTACCAGTCGGAAATTATTGATCATTTATATTTATTATAAATAAATAAAAACTGATATAACTCGATGAGACAAAGAAATGTAATAAAGCTAGATGAAAATTTTATTCTGTTTTATTCAAACATCAATGATGTTTACCTGATCATTCTAATTTGGAAAAATGAGTTTTATTCATTCAAAGGATCAAGAATTTTTATGCATCGATAATTGATTGAGAAACAAGATCTAAATACATTGATTTTTATACATTTTGTTTACATGGATTAATTATCAGCTATTAATCTAATTAAACTGGATAACACTGGATATTTAGTAAATATACCTTATGATATAATCAATAAATATAATTAACTTTTTGAGTTTTATAATTATTCCTTTCTAACACATTACCATTTTTAATTGGTTACGTATTATGTAAGTTTTCTGTATAGATACAACTTGTAAGTTAGTTGTCCTTATTCTGGACCCTTGATTATGTGGTTGTCGTTCAGGTTATTGTTGCTTTTTTTAACACTGGATGTTCTACCTATATTTCCCTCTACAAAATCTCTAGCCTTGTGTAAATAGAAAAGCTAAAAAGAGTAATTAACTAACTGAAAATTGGTTAGATAAACTCAGCTAATCAAATCTTTACAGTATCTCTCATTCATGTGATCTGTCCGAGTGATACCTTAAATGTTCGTAGCAATCTACAGTGTTAATCATAGGTTAAAAATAACTACCTATATACTGAGTTCTACTGTCACAATTACAATTGTGAAACATCAGGAATAGTTTGAACAAACTTGTATCAACTGTAAAACCATTAAAAACAAGGAAGAAGCTATCTGAACAACCCAATAGTGTTCACCTACAACACTACAGAAGATCGATTTCCAAATATTCTGATGTAACGTGGATAGTATATTTCCAAACGATTGACTAATAATAACGTTCTTATTTTCAACTTTTGTCAATTTACTAGACAATGTGGCGATCATCTAAGTATTTTCAGCCATAATTGTCTTGTTCTTGTTATAATTTCATGAAGTTAGTCACAATTTCTCATTGGAAATACGGGAATATCAAAGTCAGTTACTTGCGAATACAAAAATGCAGTTTAATAAGGTGTTTTTGCCTTATAAAACGCCAATTTGTCCAGTGTTTTTTTTCATATAATCTCAATTTTGGAGACAAGCTATTTTTAACTTGGACTCCTCAATTAATGACAAATTCATCCCAAACAAAATTGTTTAACAAACCGACATATCAGTTGAAGAACAGAAAATAAAAAATAAGAATAATCATATAACTCATCTCAATGTGATAAATAAAGTCAGAAAAGTAAAAGCTATCCACTATGACATCTTGATGCTGCCCGGTTATATATATATATATATATATATATATGTATATATATATATATATATATTCTTAATGCATATCATATCCCATATCTCAGTCCTACACGAGGTCAGTCGCGGCGAGGATAGACCAGTGGTAACGTCTCTGAATGGTAAGCAGGATAACACGGAATCAAATCCGTCAAGAAGCATCAGTTCCCTCAAGATTACAAGTACACCTTGTTGATGAGTGCCAAACAGCACGAAACCTAGGCCCAGGGTTTCTTATAGACTACCGTCAACCACCATCGTAAATTGTATTTATTCACGTAATAAAGGGAAATAGTAAAACCAATTATAGTTTGAGGGTCAAACACTTGATAAATATGACTACTTATTGGGGTTCCTAGTTGGTCTGCGGTAACTTACATTTTCAAATAATAGAGAACATTCTAATATGAACAAGGAAGATTATGAACTCAAATTAATCAAATGTTTGACATACAAAAACACTTCATCGTTAATAATCCGCACGTTAATATAAGATAAACAAGAAGGGACTTTCAGGTTAGCTTTCTATTCTGAACGGAAGTCAAAAGATGAAAAGAATCAATTCTGTTTATTTAGTAACAAGCAATCACTTTGAATCATGTAACAGTTTCAAAAAAAAACTAAGAGTGCTCACAACCAATTGGATAACAGCTAAGGTTGTTGCTGAAATATGAATCGATAAAATGTCATCAAGGTTATTTTTCAAGAAAAATCTGTTATGTAATTGTAAAACGACTAAATAGTCTGGTCTCTCCTTATTAGTGTGACCTCCTACAATATCACGGTTCCTCACTGATGAAGAATCCTACACTAAGACGATACAGCTGTTAAATGCATCCTGGTTTTTAACGGTTATATAACTACAATTTATCCGTGATATAAACTAAGATGAAATATTTAAAACAAAATAACAAAACAATCTCTATACAATCATTATCATTTATAATCTGTTTTAATTACATTTTAATTAAAAGACAATCATGCAGATACTATGTATTCCAATTAATTAATGATAGAATTTAATTAAATTTCTTTCTAAAGAAAAAAAGTATAGAAGATTTTCACGTATAAATAACAAATAGCAATGAAATTAACAAAAGAAATTTATATTTAAATGGAATAACTTTGATTAAAACAATACAGAATAAATTCTTTATTCAATATCAAGATTCAACTTATTCCATGATGACATTTTGCTGATTTAAGTGATTATGAATCGTTTTTCTAACATTTTTGATGATCATCGATGTTGGGATGAAGTTCAAAGATGACGAAACGAATAAAATTAATTCATTTATCTTTAGTTAGTATTTGTAAAACAGTTTTTTCTGTGATGGATGATGGCCAGTAGTGGAATCCAGGACGTATGTTTCGTCCTATTTAGGACTCCTCACCTAGATGTACCTGTATCCCAGAGTTGTTTATTCCGGGACACGAACCCAGTATCGTTCGTTTCAAAAGCCGTTACATTATTCACTTAGCTAATAAGTCTTTGCTTAAAACTCTTTTGATTTAAGACAATACTGAGGCAGTATGCACAGTTTACATATATACCAATAAGAGACTGATCAACTGCAGTCCTAATTATCGATGAAAAGATTCAAGCAAATATCACCAAGTAAATTTAGTTCTTTTATGATATTTTCACACAATTCAAATTGTAAAGTTACTTTTGACTTGATGATAAATTTATTGAGGAAATATGTATCAAAAATATCCTAGTTATGTAGTGAATAAAATTTACAGACTGTGGTTTCCATTGATCTTGTATTTTACCTATGACTTATGAGTTCAAGTAACGATGTTAGTTGCGAACACCTATCACGTTTTCTGGTTTGCTAACTGAAAACTTTAGAACGAAAGAATACCCTTGGTTTATAGAAAGTTTGATAGATACAGTAAAATGTCAGCCAGAAAAACAATAATAGGTCAACACAAAAATTTACTCAATATCAAGATAGTTGTTTTCATTCTTATCCTACAATCACTCAGTTGTTAACCCCCCTCCTAAGATTTATCATTTTCTGAACTAATAAATTATAGATATATATATGTATATGATAGTTACTACCTCCTAACACTACTAACATACAGATGGTCACACACTCACTCTATATGAATATTCGAACAATATGTGGAGCCCCAAAGAATTATTCCTGTATAAAAGAACTTATCAGTAATCAAAGAATGATCAATCACTTAACAGTCCAATAAACTTCATTAGTTAAAAGACAGATCTCATTATGAATTAATCCCATCCCCTAAATACTTTATAGTCATATTAGATTGTGGAGGAAGTTGGCTGAAAACCTTGGATGACCTAAGTTTCCTGATAGTTGGCACTTGTCAACACAGAATGTCTAAATTTTCGAGGTGGTTGGTTTTTCTTTATGAATTTGAGCCAGGATCATTCAGTTTTACAGTTGGAAACATTACCATTGATACTTTCAGACAGAAACTGGCCTCCTGTTGGGGATATTTACCTTGATTGATTATTACATAATGTCTAATTTTATGTTTACCCACTCCTTAGAGTTAATCTTTAGTGGTCCTTTATCTGACTCCAGTAAGATCTGACGAATGATTTTTGTCGAAATATCCACCCCTGTTATTAAAGTATACAACCATCGACTTAATTCGCGTTGGTGAATAACAGAATTCAATAAGTCAAATACGAGAATGACTCTCAAATTTATATATTTCATACAATTTTTTATCCGAACAGACAATCACAGAATCGCAGCGAAGGAAGCGAAGAAGAAACACAGAAGCGAAACTAAATGACGAGCAGCAGAGAAGGCGAGTGAGGCAACTCAATTTAGCCAAGCGTGAATCGATATTTATAGTCGAATAAATATAAGTTAATGACATGTAATGAATAGGATAAAAAGTGCACACACGCTCATATAAAATCAGTCAATGATGATAAGCGAATAAATGACAAAGTTAAATATGACTAAGATAAATGAATAGATTGATCTATCCAGAGGCTAGAATAAGATATGTGGGCTTGACATAATGTTAGCCCCTACAGATAGATTTCAGTCGCTCTACAGTTAACAATGGTTCATCTTATAATTTCGATTCATTACAAAGTAAAAGCAAAATACATTCAATCTATAAACACTTATGAACTCGAAACACCATTATCGTTCATTTTAAGTCATCAAAGACATTAAAAGTTATGTTAAGAAATAAAAACTGAAAACAATTATGATCAGTTTGTTTGTTGTCATAATTCTCTTACCTGATAAATCTAAATATTTTATGGTAACATTTTTGATCAAGTCATTGTACAATTTCATCAGACCATCTTTGCGTAATTTACATTGACTCAAAAGCTTTGAATAAATAGTATATATACATATATTATGAAGAACAAATAAGTATATTATTTTAACTTTAATCATCTACCTATATATCAAATAAATAATAAAGAAAAGGATTTTAAATGGTGAGCTGAAATTTACCGATATAATTATAGTATTGTGTTTGTTTTACCTACACATTTATTATTGCTTTGGCAATATATGTCTGAGTATCATAATAAATATATCCTTTGTACAATATGAAGTTGCATTAATTTGATTAGATCATTTATTTACTCTGAAGAAGTGGCTTACATCAAGTCACGAAACGTCGGAAATACAATTTTTCCACTCATTGATATGTAAGAAAAAATGTATTTATTATTAACCTTCTACCGAATGCTAAAGTTATTTGAAACTATCAAGTCCAAACTTGACATTGATACCTTCATATTATAGTATCGTTAAAGAAATCCGTAGATTAACGTTCTATGACTTTTGTAGTTCAATAGGTAGTTTTATCCACAGATTTCAATCCGCCTGGAGCCCTACTAAGGACGCTGCCGGTTCCAAGCCCGGGTGAGGAAGGAGGATTGTGCATGAGATCAGTAACCCCATCCCTTAGAAAACAAATCTGCTTAGAAACGTTAATCAGAAAAAAATCCGAATCATCTTAACTGTGTCCTGGGAGATTAAAGATCTTCATTGAGAAGAATTATGACGCCTCATAGTGAAAGCCAAGATTTTTGGGAAGTCGCAAAGCTGATATCCTTTCAAACAACCAGAACAGCAATTATTATATATACATGGAATGGCCGGACAATGTGGGAGGTTGAGAAGACCAATCAAATAAATACAGAAATGAGGAGATACAATTTAATTGTGCTCAGAATAAGTAAAGCTCATTGGGCTTAAGCTGAACCGAAAAGATTGGCTTCGGAGGAGGTGCTGCTGTACTCTTATCACGAAGAAGAAAATGATTCGCACACACATATACTTGCACTAATACTGTCCAAAAAAGCCCAAAAAACACCTATAGGATGTAAGTATTATGAATCTTGAATCATCAAAACGTCCTTCAAAATAAATTAAAACGGGATCACAATAAATGTTGTTAAATGCAGTGTGTCCATCGTTGATGGCAATAAAGGCTATAAAGATCAGTTTTATGAGATGCTGCAATCAATCATGTCGAAGTGCCCAAGAACGGATCTCACCATCCTGAGGAGAGACCTAAACGTCAAAGTCGGAATGGATACGACCGGGTATGAAGATATCATGAGATGACATGGACCACGAGAAAGGTATGAGAATGAGGATGGCCTTGCAAACCTATGTGCATTCAACAAGTTGGTTATAGGCGGCACAATATTACCACACAAACGAATACACAAAGCTGCATGTGTATCACTGAACCACACCACGGGAAACCAGATAGATCATATTTGTATCAGTAAGAAATTCACAAGGTCATTGGAAGACGTGAGAACCAGGAAAAATGCTGACATAGCTTCAGATCACCACCTGGTGGTTGCAAAAACAAAACTGAAGCTAAAGAAGCCCTGGACAACTGGAGAAGCAGCGTTACAAAGATTCATTACAGCCTTCATTCGACATACTGACGAACTCGATGTATTCAAGATAACTCTTAACAACGCGTTCCGTGCCTTACAAGATTTACTGGAAGAACAAAATACTACTATGATGGACAACTGAAAAGAGATCAAAGAGGCACTAACTTAGATGTGTCAGGAGGTGCTGGGTCGCAAGAAGCATCATCATAAGGAATGGATCTATATCAATACTCTAACCACGATTCAAGAAAGAAAGAAGTAAATAGCAATCAACAACACCCGAACAAGAGCAGAGAAAGTCAAGGTACAGACCAAATACATAGAAGCAAATTAGTAAGTACAGAATAGCATTAAGGCCGACAAGCAGAAATACATGGCAGAGCTAGCAACGACAGTGGAAAAGGCCGCAAGAGAAGTAAATATGAAACAACCATATGACACGACGAAGAAACTGACAGAGAAATGCATTAGGCCAGAGAGATTGATCAGGTACAAAGAAAGCAATCCATTCATCGAAACTCAAGGACAGAGAAGCAGATGGGTGGAACACTTCGATGAGCATTTGAATGGACCAACACCACTGAACCCACCGGATATCATATCAGCACACACACCTGGGTGGCATCATCAATCAATAAGAGGGGTCTGATGTAGATGTACAAGAACGGCTTGGCAAAACAAGAGTAGTATTCTTGCAAGTGAAGATCATGTGGGACTTAAAAACAACTGTCAGCTAACATCAAAGTCAGAATCTTCAATACAAATGTCAAGATAGTTCTATTGTACGCAGCTGAAACTTGTAGAACTACTACAACCATCATCAAAAACGTACATGTATTTATAAACAGTTGTTTTAGTAAGGTACTGCATATCCGTTGACCAGATGCCGTCAGTAACAGCCTACTGTGGAAAGAACAAAACAACTTACAGCTGTAGAGGGAATTAGGAAAAGAAGCTGGGAGTGGATTAGACATACATTACGGTAATCATCAGACTGCATCAAGAGACAATCTTCAACTTGAAATCCCAAAAACCGTAAGAAAAGAAGAAAACCAAAAAGACAAATTTCGTCGGGAATCGGAGGTAAGCATCAAAAGAATGAATAGCAATCGTAAACAACTAGAAAAGGGAACCTAGGAGAATCCTGATGAACTCCAAACAGAACAAAATACACATCCTGAGTTCCACTCTATCTATTATTCTATATAAATATTCTGGTTAATTTAGAATATTAGAAAAATTACTTACCAATGTTTGTATGAATGTGTTTTCTTTTAAAACTTTTGATAAAAATGATAGACTACTAACTTCCAATACATTATAAGATAAGTCCAACCAAGTGATTGTAGTGTTACGCTAAAATTCAATAAACGAATATAATATTACATAAAAACTTTCGTCTAAATTTGATTAAATAGTATCAAAGTATTTGGTCTCCGAGCTAATGTAAGACGTTAAAGAGGTACAATGTATTTATAAAATCTCAAATTCATTTACTGACATTTTACAAATACATTCTTCATGACCTTTGTATTTTCAGAAGGGGTTTGTGGAGATTTTTAGAAATTTTCACAGATTGAAATCATGAGTCAGTTGAAGCTAGACCACTATTGAAAACCCGGAAGCACTGGACGGCCGTTTCGTCCTAGTATGGGACTCCTCAGCAGTGCGCATCCACGATCCCGCACCACGCGGGGCTCGAACCCAGGACCTACTGGCTTCGCGTGCGAGCACTTAACCATTCTTCCTTACCCTTTGATTAGGAAGTAACCTCATTTGTTACTTAGTCTCAAATCCATTTTTGCAATCCAATCTTATCTATCCTCCTATAGACATATATATTTTCCATATAACTAGATATACAAATGTACAGCTTAAATAAATGATTTCGTCGAAAAGAAAATTTTCTTCGTTGAATTATCTTTTTCTTAGATTCCCCCTCTTTAATTATAGTAATATCTATTGGATCATAATAATTTTTTAAGATGTATACAATAAATAGCTGATAGATTTATATAAATAAGGAATAACAATTCTGAAAAGTCAAATAATAGTTTCAACTTGTCCATAAACAAAAATTCATTTAACAAAACAATCTAACTTCATAATCAGATGATTCGACAAACACTTAATTCATATTACAATTAATTTGACCTTAAAAAATATTGTTTATTAGAATGAATATTTAAAGTAGGAAACGTATCACTAATATTTTATATGAATTCAAAAACCTTGTTCTCAAAGATAAAAAAATCTATTTTATTGGTACACAAATTAAATAGTTATTATCAGAAGGTGTTTTGTGAAGATTGTAATCATTTCAACAGTTGAGATCGTGAGTCAATTCAAGCGAGACTGATAGGTCCTAGGTTCGAATCCTGCAAGGCAGGATCAAGGATACGCACTTCTGAGGAGTCCCACAATGAGACGAAACGGTTGTCCAGTGCTTTCAGGTTTTCCATGGTGGTCTAGCTTTAATTGACTCATTATCTCATCTATTGGATAGTTATTCTTCGAAAATTTTATAAGTCTTACAATGAATGGATGCAGGATAATATTATTGTTTCGATCATAAACTTGACGTTAATATAGAACAGATGAAGAGTCCATAACAGTGGAACCCAATCGTGTCTATTTTCTGTCTTTAAATGTTGGTCCAAGAATAGAAAATCGAACAAGGAAAATGATTGGATATGCGACGTTAAACGTTTGATTGCTGTTATCATTAAGTGTTCTCATCGAACCCCACCTCATGTTAATCTTTTACTCTGACACCATCCCAGGTCAATATAAAATCTTATTATCATTGTATTATTCACTTTGTTACAGTTACAAACTCTACCAAACCTCTATTTCGCAATCTTATAAATGTTTTAGATGAATTTCAGTTGTGTTGATTTGTACATTAGGTAATTTGTATGTAATTGTGTCAATCTTCCAGAAACATAAAAACATTTACGAACTAGTAATTTTTCTGTTTCATAACCGTTTATTTGGAGTACTTACAGATTAAATAAATCGTAGCTATCAATAGGATCCAGGACGCTTATCGTTATTCATGTACGACTCGTCGGATTGATGTATCTTCATCCCACTTTCGATGCTCATACAATGACTCAAGCCTATTGCTCTTCACTTCAAGCATCGACGTGTTATCCACTGAGCGACTGAATCTAAATACTCACTGGCTTGTCTAACCACTATGGTGTTTATGTCATTATTAGAAAGGGTTTGCAATATCCCGTCGTTTATATTCTTGACAAGATTTTGATCAGTTTCTTTTAACGTCTGTGCATCCTGAGACGAAGGTCTTGACATAGCTATTGATCTAAAAGTTCTTATAGAATAGATGTATTGTGATTAGATGTAGAAACTAGGATAGGCATTTCGTTATATTTGAAAGCACTGCATTTGGAATTTTCGTGTTAATTATCAATCAAATATCCACGATGAACATTAAAACTTTATTCGTTATAAAATAAATTTGAGTAATTCTATTTCATAGATAACTTGCTTAATTCAAATTTCTTTTGTTTTTCTTTTCGTCAAGACCTAGTCAGTACTGTTAATTATGCAATATAAACAACATTATCAGTCCGACTAATGAAGTTGTTCAGTGTTATATTTCTTATTAATTCTATTAATCACTAAATGGATAATCAATACATGTAATATATATGATGCTAGCCAAGATAATATCGAAGTTGTATCACCAAACGATCTACATAAATTACATTTGTTTGAATGCGAGAAGAGAAACATATTTTTATCACATCTATAAGGTTTGTCTAGTCTTTTTTTATCAAGAAAATAATAAGAGATGAGAAAACAATTCTCCACTCTACCCATCTTTATGAATATCAAATGTTTGTTTCTTCATCCCTTATAATGATAGAGTTTATTTTAAAATCGCTGGTTTGGGGGCTGGGAAAAAAACAAAACATTCGAACGAATCGGTTTCAGAATTATCGATCAGTTTTTGGTTAGTTTGGGTTTATTTTATCTGATTTTCATAATCAAAGTGAATATAAAGCTTTTTATAAAAAGTGCATAAAACGAATAAACGAATAAAGTGGATTGATTAACTTTGTTAAAATGGCTTACAAAATTTGTTTACTTGAGAGAAATTAGTGTTTGTTTTCATTTCATTTTAAGATCTAAAGTGTTTATGAATAATAATAGTTTACTTCATGTGCAAAGATGATCAAACTATTTGATGGCTATCATTACTAAAATCTCAAAGAAAATCCCTAATCTGATAATAATCATCGTGTGCTCACTAGTGACTGGCTTCAAATGGTATTTCCTGGAGTTCTGGTGAGAAGCCGTGACCAGTGGAGTTCAACTGTGTCTGCCGTGAAGCAGTGACTCACTGGAGACAATGGTGGGCAGTGAAGCAACTTCGGGGATTGGTTAAAGTTAAGGTTAAGCGTTCACGCAAGACCGAAGTTTCTGGGTTCGAGTCCCACGTCCGGGATCGCTGACGCGCACTTCTGAAGAGTCCCACACCGAGAAGAAACGGTCGTTCAGAGCTTTCAGGTTTTTCATGGTGGTATAGCTTTGACAGACTTATGAATTAAATTATTAAATCATCATTTAGTTGAGAATTCACTAGGTCATCTTTTTTCGCTATTTTGAGAATTTTCCAATGTAACAAGTGTCACAATGAATTTGTCCTACACATCACTTATCAATCACCTATAACTCAATTATTGAAATTTATATCACTTGGAGGAAAATATTCTGACATTAAAACTACATAGTTTCTAAATGACTATTGAGTTTCTGAACTAGTTGATCTAATTTTTCTTAGGATATTGAGTAATACCATTCTATTCAGTCTTTAATATTGATTGGATCCTGTAGAACAAGGTATATATAAGTCAGTATGGAACTGATCCATTTTAACTAATGCAATATTTTTTTCAACGAGTGTGAGACTTTCCACACTCAAAAACCTTGATCCAAACCAAAGACTTCACGCGAATAAGGCTTGTAGATATTGCAGATGAAATGATGTTCTGGAAGAATATTTAACCTATAAATATTCTCGATTATACTTGGTATGTTCTGACTTTTTGACAAGATAATGTAGCATTAAGTGGTTGCATTGGGAAGAATCAATATAATCATGTGGCAAGAATTTGCAAATAACAAAATTTCCTTACACACTTCTCGTGTCTAAGTGATGTAACAATACTCATCTGTAGCTTACACAGTACCTTCATCACAAATCATCCAAATGTGATCGTGACAAACATTCATTATACCTTAGTATATCAAAAGTAATTTGGTACTTGTCCCTCCATACATAATTATAAATTACGTGGATAGACGGATTCAGCTGGGAACCTTAGACCTGGATTTCGCTCTAGACAGATATATCTGTAGTTATGAAGTAAGTGATACTTCTCATTGGTCTCAAACCCAAGCTACCGGGCGTCGCAATTGAAGATATTACCAAAGAAATATTCTAGGAGTAACCAGCCGTATGTAGAACTCAGATATTAATGCTAATTATCATTGAATGGTGACTAATATCTTTTTTATTCAATGATCAATAAAATCCGATTAACAGGAATGAATAGACAAACAATGACATCGATCAACCATCGTAATATATATATTAAAGCAGATAGAAAGGTTTAAATTCTTGACGCAACAACAAAATGGAAAAAATGTGGTAATAGGTGAGCATTTAAAAACAACAAAACTGAAAGATATCACATTCACGATGTCTTCAAATTAAAAAAATCGCTTGGTTTTGACCAATGTTATGTGTGTTAGGTCCTTCTTAATGTAGATCATATCCTACATCTCAGTCCTATAGGAGGCCAGCCGTGGCCCAGCGGTATTTTCTCTGACTGTGAAGCTAGGTTACAAGGAATCGAATCCGTCAAGGAACATCAGTTCCTTCAAGATTACAAGTACACAACCATCCTATTAAAATACTTGAATATCACTTTCTTGATAGAAACAATGTAATCTATTGCTATTGTAACATCTTAAATCAAGATTTCATATTTACAGGAACTTCTCAGCAATGTGTATCTACAACCATTTGATGGAAATATATACAGGTAATATAACAAAACACTTATAGATGATACAAAATAAAGACTAGTAAGAAATGCTTTACGCGATATGAAAATTGACAGTGACAGAAATACAGCATGTCATTTTAGATGACCCACAGAAAAACTTCATATCATATAAATGTTTACCTAAAATGCCATTGCAGTTATTCAACGTAATAATAATAATAATTTGAAGATTCAGTTCACTCACTCGTAAAGCTTCTGTAATTAATTTAATCTCCAAATTCCCAATTCCACGATGTTGTAAAGATAGTTTTTCTTTATCAAGATTTTGAACAACATATCTCAATGGACTAACTCGATTTAATGCACAAAAGTATAGATAATATGAGATTCCTGTGGTATCATGTTTTAATTGCCCAATTAAAGACATCATTTTATCATACGCGGTGTTTAGATAACTTTTTTCGTTGTACAACTTTACATTTACTTGATTTATTATCTTTGAATCAATACTGAACTTTTCTTCATTTTTGGAACAAATCGTTGTGGATTTTTGTAACCCACTGTCAATTTTTTCACTTTTAGAAAATTCGTGACGATTTTGAAAATCTGTCAATTGACTGTGACTAGTTTCTTGGGATCTGGAATTTTCTATTATGTCTATAAGAATCAGTAGAGACAATAACACTGAAAGATTATTCAATTATCAGTGTGATGTTTTATCAGATTAGTTTTACATCACATAATGACACCAGTCATACAATCTCTGTACAGCTGTTTCATCCAAACTTTGGACGCTTCACTGACTTATATCCGCGACGATATCAGGATTGGAACGCTAAATCTCCATGCCCCGCTGTAAGCCCTTTACCTTCAGATCACTAAGTTAGAATCTGACTGTTTACATTTCCGACTTCAGTCAATTTAGGATGTTTCGTAATTACTTTTAAATGTCATTGGTGATATACATCTTACGCCCGACATAGTTGAACTCTGCTGACTATGACTATTAACTGTAACTTTGGAGATCTGTTGAACTTAGTTACTACTAACCATAATATCACAAATTCACTATAGTTATATAAAATGTTTGTCGTTGGTCATCAGTTCAGAAGGCGCACTGTCTGAGGCTTGATTGTTCTCATTTTGACCACTAGTAGCGTTATACTGTATCTCTGGCATAAATTTACAATTGAACCCGATCATGAGTTTGTATATAACTATAAAACATGAATCATTTGATTCTACCTTGAAGATCAAATGGTAATCATATTTCTTATGGGATTTGATTGTTTCCGTTTGGTACCATATGGGTTAAATTGTGTATAACGATGTCAGTTTCTAAATTAACATGAAATGTTTGACTTCAAAGTGACAGCATAAAAAAATATTTAACAACTCTAAGTTCCATATTAGGCCATAATTAGAATATTTTAAACAGTCGGTAAATCGGAAGTTATTTGTAAATCACAAGTAAACATCAGTTGTAAAATTACTAGAAGTTATACAACATATACCAGCTCTGAGTGTAGTTCTGCAATCCTTTACTATCAATAGAACTGAATCAAATATGTTCTGTTGCCAAATACAATCAATCCCATTTGAAAAGGGTTGATTGGTCAAAAAAACCTAGTTCCCAATGAACAATTGTAAAATGTTAAAAATGTCACCGAATCTTCTAAACAGTAATCCAAGCTTTTATTGTTAACAGATTGATGTAGAATATTAATAATTAGCAAACTATTGATAATAAAAGATATCTTTAGTACAGATCAGCTTAAGTTTTAACTAATTCACAAAAGTTTTGATTAGACCACACACTTATTCATCGATAAATATATCAAGTTCTACTTTAATTCAGTTCTGTTTGTCCTATGTAAACGTTTGTCTGTATTTTCAATGGTATTAAATATAATCTTATCATTGCTAAGCTAAAGTAGACAATTTTATGTATTAGAAAACACTCTACGAAATACGAGGATCAACGTTAACTAAAAAGCAAGTTTTAAATATATGTTTTCTTTAGTGCAGACACTTGTAACAAAACTCTAATTATTAGTTCTATAATAGTCCGAATTAACTAAATACAATGCCTCACTATGTCAACTGTTATTAAATCAGTTACTTAGTAATACCCATTTTATTAGTATCACTGCATGTACAGTTAAAGTGAAAACACCTCACCACTTTCGAGATCCGTTTCGTGATATTCATCTAGTTTTAAATCCACATCATTCGATGTATTCAAGTCATTGGTAGTAAAATTCGACACTGTTGTAGTGGATTTCGAAGGCGGCCATAAGCGACTTCTTGCTCTTGTTTTACTTAACTTAGCGTCCATCCAACTAGATGCGAATGGGATAGTTGATGTCTCTTGTAAACTAAGTCCTTCGATATCCTCTGGAAAAGAAAACCCATTATAGTCAATGGAATCATTTTTAAAGAAAATACAAAGCACGAATGATGTTCAATGTTTTCTTTATTTATAAGTGAGAACAAAAGCAAGACATATGTTAAATAGCTCTTTTTTAATATAACCAATGTCTTACTACTTTACGTTTTCACGAGTAGTACTACTGACATCATTTTATCGTCTGAAAATTGAGTCGATGAATGCTTCGTAATTATAATATATTGGTAACATCGCTTAAACCGCACTAAGAGATAATAGATTTTTCTCTCATTCCTGGTTCTACGATTAGAAATCCAAATTAGTTTTCCTGAAAGATTACCAAGTTCAAGGTAAATACGTCATTTAATGTTAATGATTATGAATTTATGATTGTTGGTGAAATAAATTTGTTATTATTAGAACGATCAGTGCTGAGGTGTTCCATAATATGACGAAAAGGCCGTTCGATGCTTCCAGGTTTTCAATGGTGGTCTAACATCAGTCGATTCATGAGCTCGGTCAAAAACTTAATAATCTACACAACTCCGCACTCATAATTACCATATGCTCACTAGTGACTAGGTTCGTGAGGGAATTCTCAGAGTTCTAGTGATAACCCATGAACAGTGGAGCTAATCCGTGTCAGCTAGAGACAGATATCTACCTCAGTATAATGGAAGATGGTTGCGCAATTCAGTGTATTGGTTGAGGTAAACAATAACACCGTTAGATGCCGTCCAGCTCTGTGGTGAAGAGTTTAAACATTCAGGGGCGATACTGAAGGTCCTGAGTTCCAATCCCTCGAGCAGGGTCATGGGTGCCCACTGCTCACTAGTCTTGTACTAGGGTGAAACAGCTATCGAGTGCTTCCAGATTTTCAATTACGGTCTAACATCAATCGATTCATGATCTCAATCAAAAACTCAATACAGGTCATTTGACATTATAAGATTTACTATCAGAATAAATATAGATAACATCGAGTAAGAGGAATAATAATGAAATTACGAAGTGGAACAAATTTTCGGCCAAGGATTACGTAATGCATACGCATGTTCATGCATAAATTATTTGAGCATTAATATGAATTCTCCTTATTTGGTTTTAGTGTGCTATGCACTAACCCTTCCCCCAACTGACTACTTGAGCGAGAACACATGAGTGAGCAAGAAAGTATATTGGGCTGGGCTACCAAATAAAAATGCCGATTCATATATATACCACTCTAATTCTTAGAAAATTGATCCATTTCTTATTCAATATAATGCACTTCTACTTTAGGTCAATTTTAATTGCCATCGATTGACTTTCCGACTGGCTCTCCATATCTGGTTTCATAATGTTAATTTCATGTCAGTTTCATGTACAAATTACACACTGTTAATTCCTGCATTAGGAAATCTATTTCACCAACAGTCGTAAATTCATAATCAGTAACTTTAAATGATGAATTTATCGTAAACTCGGCCACTTCGAGATTATTAATTTAAATATATAGTTGTGGAACCTCAAGAGAATTTATTGAAAAGAGTATTCTTGGTTAAGATATCTGTGATTTTTACTATGATAGGAATTTTCGAGCAAATAATTAAACAACAGATCGTTTTCAGTAGTATGATTGCAAATGCATTAAATAGTAAATAAAAGAACGTTTAGTTACATAACAAGTAGACTGAGAGAAAAAACAATTCGCATATTTTAAAGTCAATGTGCTGCATAAATTGATGAGAGCTGAATAATCATTAAAAACTTCTTTGAAAGCGATGATCCGTGAAGTTAACTTAGTCGACTGTAAAACTGAACACAACTTTTTAATCATAAACAATTCGTCGATAAAATTGATTTTTCTATGAACAATAAGTTAGAAGGCCATGGTCGTACTCTACAACATAAAATGACGAATCACGTGTATGCAGTGTCTCTCCATCTAGTATCATTCCATAATATAAGATACCGTGAAAATGAATAAAAAATTTCACGAAAACTAATTGACTACTTTACTGATAGCATTATCTTACCGTAACCTTCTAAAAACACGGCTCTAATATCTTCTTCTGTTAGCAGAAGATTATTATCTTCAATCCAACCGTATAAGAATTCATTTTGAGCAACTGATTTCGCTTCATGAATTTCTGAATCAATATTATTATTCTTATCCATTAGGATAGTATCTATAAGCTTATCCTTTACAAATTTACATTTACTGTGCCTGGTTTCGTTTTAAAATAATTCACTTTAAGTTAGTTTATGCCACTGTTTCATTAAACAATATATGTTATACTTTTTTTAAAATTTCATTTATAAAATGAGACAACTCGTCAGTTGCACTATCTGTTTGACCTTGTCACTATGGTAATACAATTCAATTTTCACTTATATTTAACATTCGAATTGTATTTCGCTTTAAATTAGAAAAAAAATGGATTTCATTCACTATCTGACACTGAATTGATAATTTAATTGATTAAGTGATAAAAATCAACTACAAATAAGTAAAAATTTTGTTTTTAGATTATTTCCTTGAAATTAGTTTCTGGCTTAGTTAGTCTGTAGATAATAAAGGACGAAACGCGAGTCCTGGATTTCACTGCTGGTCACTATCCATCATTGCTTACCAAAACATTTTTTTAAGTATGTTCATATTTCTTTTGAATATTGAATGATGAATTACTTCATCAGTTTTTTTCAAAATTGATCAAAGTACCTGGTTAAGTATGATTGCTATTTATATTATACCTACTGGGTACATGTACCAGTGTATTTACTTATTTTTATCACTAAGAAATATATACTATTCCACCCAGTTAAGTATCATCTGCTTTTTGTTCACAATCAGTAGGATATATGTGAAATATATAAGTATAATGAATTAAAAGCTTGTGTTATATTTACACCGTTTATTACTTATACTTGAAAAGAAAGTAAACCAGAAATCACTGCAATTCCCATGAATCGAGATAAGAATACCAAGACTGATAAGAATGAACCCCAAAAATACGATGACTTTAGTCGAAAATACACTCATTTATATATATTATATAATCAATTCAATTATTAATTAGAAAAGAAGTCACATATATGAAAAATGATCAGAGTAATAACCAGTCATACGGAACATGGTTCATATTAAATTATTATAATGAATATTATATCTTGAATAAAATATCACATTAAAAATAAAACAAACATTCCATTGAGTAATTAACATATTGAATTAAAAACCGAAGTAATATTGAATAAGAATTACAGTGAGTAAAAGAATGTAATTTTACAATTTAATCCTATTATATCAACTTCATGTGTGTTGAACTCTTCAAATACCATCGTATTCAACTCCCCAATACTAACATCAATGCCTGTATGAGTTAGTGATATCATTACAGAGCTTCGATGTATTGTGATTAAAATACTGTTTCAGAATAATAAAAATGTTAACTAGATATCCCAACAATGAGCAAATTAATATGCTCATGATGAATCAATATACAAAATATACGGAAAGTTTACACGCAAAATAGTTTTAACGAAACAATGTAATGTATAAGAGGATTAATAATTACTTACGAAAGTCGAAGATTACTAGAGATGCTTTCTGAACTTAATTTTTATAATTTCACGTCTACTACAAGATCAATAAAAATTAGACAGACTTTTCATGATACCCTGAGATACACTTTTATTATGTGACCATGAAGAATGAGGTATTTTAATGCAAGGATTAAAACTGACATACAAACAATTGAACTCCTTAATATTCAAAAGATATCGCGTTTGTTGAAAAATATGTTTTTATTAAAATAACATTTTGATTTTAACAGTTTATGAAAGAATGTTTTTAAGGAAACTTTAAGAGGATGAGTCTAATCTAATCGGTGATGTTCCATTTTTTAGTACAGGTAATAATCGAATGAACTGGATCATTCGAAACACAGTCAGGTGATTCAATGACTATTACGATTAACAATGACAAATGTAGTTGAAAAAGTAAGCTTTAGAAAACCAAAATCCCAACTCCACCATTTACCTTCCCTATTCATCTTAGATTGCATTATCTATCAACAGTAAATAAATTTGTTCTGGAGACAAGTGTTTATAATTATGAAAATAATTCTCTATCTAATAGTTTACTTATTCATTCAATTTCTGCCAGTTCATGTCTATTTAACTGATAAATAGCCATGCACATGAACACGATGTCAAAAATTCGATGTGTTCAGTATCCTGAATACGACGTAGAAAACAAACTAACTTTTACTCGTCGTTACTAATAATGTTACCAATAATATAGGGAATTTACTGAGGTTACTGACTTTCTTTTGATTCTCTAATCAAAATTTACAACTCGATGTTGCAAATTATGGTGAATATAATTACAAATCTATATCTATATGCCTCATTTCAAACGAAAAGTTGTTTCATCAGCACTGAGTAATGTTTTTATTTTTCTGACGTAGCATTCTATGTTAAGAATTTCGAAGGTTAAACTCACTATATATAAGCTTTCAAACCTTATTATATATAGGAAGTCTTGATGATGGTGATAAATATTGATTAGTAAGATGTACTTTCCCTTCATATGGGGAATTCGTTAATGTTATCCTTCCTAATAGTAGTGGAAGTGAACAACTTCTCCTTCGAATTCCAAACCACCATCCATCAAAACATCAAGATTATTTAGAAAGTTCTTTCAGATATTTTACTCTAAAGCCTGTTGTATATATATATATATATATATATATATATATATATATATATTCGCTTATAGATAGATAAACAAAACGCTAACAGTTAGTTACGATTGAAATTATTAAACTAAGTATTATGATACCTTAGTGCATTACATTTGATATTAATCATCGGTAGACAATCATCAAGTATTAGTAAGCTGTAGGCTTCAAGTTGTAGGCTTTATGTTTATTAACAGTCATTAATGTTTTGTACCTAAACTCCCAAATTACTGAATGGTTTATCAAATACATTGTCAGTGATGCTACAATCAGAATTTTCATAAGTAAAGTACGGGTATTATGATATAATGAAATAAATATCTGTTGTCAATGTTCTGAAAGACGAAAGTCCATCCGGTCGACCAGATACGAACATATGTACTTATATTTCAAAATATATTGGTCGGATGGATACATATTCATCATACATGATAATGTTACTCATGGCAACATTCATTGTATTTTGTATTCAGGAACATAATACATCTGATCGAACATTTAAAAGATGGCAGACAAACCTTAAAATCGCAAACAAACTATTGCGTATTGCACAGACTCTCTATAAACGACAAATGAGTTCATTGTTAGGTCGTTGGTGGAAACTCTCGAGAAATAGACGACGTGATTCCCTTCACTCACTGAAAAAAAAACGTGTGCTTTTAATACCATATTTCTTTTAAAAACTGCAATCCAGCATATTTATCACCTATGGTTTAGTCTTAAAAAGTAATCGGTCGGCTGTAAAGTTGCCAGATACTAACATTATGGGGAAACTTGACAAATGAAGTAAACTTGTGCCTACCGGGGAATATGAGTTTCCCCAAAGTAATATGCCGTAATCAGCATAATTCACATCACTGACTCAGCATATTTTATTTCAACATTTTATATAGAACGAATTGTTGAGGATCACTTGTGAAAACCAAGTTGTCACAAAAATGTTCATAGTTCGGCTACGTATCGTCATCGTTTCACATTTCAGGTATATTTCTATTATAAATAGAGACTTAATCCCTATATCTTTAAATTTCCCTCTGTTCTTACGTAAAAAGGGGAACCTAGGTTACGATATCAATTGTTAATGATCCGAATATAGATATGAAATTAATAGGTGGTATATGTTGATCTAGAATTTATTCATACTACGTTCCTAATTTACATTAAAATGTACAATATTTTCAAATCATTAAACAAGCTAAATGACTTGTATATACTTTCTTAAGTTGTAAATATTGATTCATAGTAACAATCACAACATAATAACTGTAATAATTTAGTAAGTAATTTTATGAATCAATAACAGTAACACTAAATGTACTTTCATCGGTATTTTATTCGGGTAGGATCTAGTTATTTCGTTTCATAGAATATAATACGACAACAACACATAACCAAATAATTTTAAAAAAAGATTGGGTATACAGTAATGATACTAATCATTATTGTTATATTGTTTGTAATGTATACACTAATAGCAATATTTGGTATTATGATTATATATTATAACTAAAATTCTATGTCTACAATGAACTAAATAAGTAAATTAATAAGAAAGGAAATCATACTACTTAAATAATAAAGAGATAATATGAGAGAAAAATATGGATAGAAAAATGAAATAAGCAATGAAAGAATAGATTAGAAGTTGAGAAAATGTTCTTACATATAAATAAATTATCTTATCTAAATATTAAACAAATACAATTAACATTTAAAAAATTCTGGAAATTGTATATCTAATATAGAAATCTTTTTATAAATAGTTTTTTTCCATGATGAATTAACATCACGTTCATTTAAAATTGCATCAGCGAATTCCCATACTGTAATTTGAATAGCTTCAAGAAATTCTTTCGGAGTCTGTAACAATAATAATAATAATAATAGATATTACTTCAATTAATGTTATTTAGTTGTTCCTTAGTTTATCAATGTAACAATGAATTTAATGGCCAAGCGAACAAAAGTACATCTTATACACTTAAAAAGATATGATTCATAAATGAATGGGAATGTATCATTTCATTTTACAAATAATTACATATGCTCACTAGTGATCAGCTCAGTTAGAGAATTCTCGGACTTCTAGTGAGAAGCCGTGACCAATGGAGCTAATCTATGTCACGTAGAGACAGACATCTATCTTAGTACAATCAAAGATGGTCCCTCAAGTTCGTAGATTGGTTGAGGTTACATATTAACACTGTTGGATACCGGCCAGCTCAGTGGTGTAGGCCCTTGGTTCGAATCTCGTGAACAGAGTCGTGGATACACACTGCTGAGGAGTCCCATACTAGGACAAAACGGCCATCCAGGGCCTCCAGGTTTGTAATGGTGGTCTAACATCAATCGATTCATGGTCTCAATCAAAAACTTAATAACCTTCACGACCCCATACTGATAATTATAGTACTTATATTAGACATTGTTACACAAACGAAATAGCTCTTGAATGTTTGACTAAATTCAATTTTTAGATGGCATGCTTCAGTAAATTAATTGTTTACAAAACTATGAAGATAGGGTATTATAATCTATAGTACAAGATTGCATTAGCAGTTAGTATCATATTATACTTTAAATTACAAAAAAGTAAAACGATTTTAAAAC